AAGGTACATTAAATGGGTTTTTTGACAGGAGAATTCTACAGAGAAAGACAGAGTAAGATTTTGTTAGGATTTGTTGAATGAACATATATAACAATAAAAATTATAATATATAATTTGCAACTTTTTTGCATTAAAGAAAGCATTGAATTAATTCCGGTTTAGGTTATTGATGGAGAAAAAGTAGAAAGTAATTGGAAAAATGAGGGGAAACAAAGCTGGGCAGAGGTTCTGTTTCCAGTAATAACTTCATATCAAAGAGTTCAAATAGAATTTGTTATTTTAACACATATTCATGCGTTAAAATTGTCCAATCGATGTCCTGACTCTTTCCATTAAAAGTGTTAATGTTTAGCTATTTTTTGAAAATGCAAAACAAACCCAAAAAGATTTTATAGCAAAAGAGGTTCAACAGAGTGTTACCCTTTGGAAGGCTTCATACAAATTCATTTTAAAATGTAGGTATCATTTTCCTTTTTATTATAATTTGTGTTGGTATGTAACCCAAAATAAAAAAAAGAATAAATAGGCACAACAAAATGCTAAAGAATATTCCAAAAAGCATCCACTGATCTGCTTTGTTTAAGAGGAGGTCAGGGTCCAATATGTTACCTGGATTACATCCATCACCCGGGAGAGAGGCTTTCCTTCTCTCAGCTCCACATGATCCTGGCTGTCCTCTCTCCCCTTACATAATTTTCACACAGTGCCGTCGGAGTGGGTTATTGTCTCCTGCCAGTTGGAGCCGTGGAACAAAATCACTGCTCTGATGCTTCACTGGATGTTGTAGCTCAAGTTTTGTTCTTTTTGTTTTGTTAAAAGACAGAACACTGGTACCCACATAAATACTCATAAGTAGATTGATATGATATGCACTAATTGTTGTTCTGCAGGAAATAAGATCAAATAGATTTTTTTTAACTAGGACTCAAAATGAATCCAACCTTATAAAATATCACGGGAGGAATTAAGCGCCATACATGGATAAAAGAGTAGCAATAAGCATAACTAGGGTGTAGTGTAATGTCAAAGCATTGTTTATGTGGGTATGTTGTGTTTTAATCAAATATATATATATATAGAAATCAAAAATGTTTTAATTCTTTTAACCTTCATTGCAGTATCCTACCGCAATAAAGATTTGTGTATAGTAAGGCTTTTGCACTACTTAAACAAGGGGACCAATAGGGTGCTGTTGTTGCAGTTTTATCCATGCAGGGCTGTATTTAAAGAGGAAAAAAATCCAATATTCGCTTTTCCTCATGCTCAGATTTGACCTCAACCATTCCTGAGGGAAACATTGGGCTCTTTTGCTGACAAACACCCTGCAATGTTTACCAGCTAATGATCAGTTGCCTCTGTCTGTTGCTTATTTAATTTCTTAGTTCACCTAGTGTATAGAGCCTTATAGGAGATAATTTTGCTGAAACCATTTTTTGTTCTGCAAAATTATACAAAGTTAAAGAGTTATTAGGCCAATAGCAATGAACCCCTTTGATAAATAAATCAAAATATATTGGCATTATTTTTAGTTTACCTTGAAGCGTCTCTATTAGACTGGATTTTATGATAATGTATTTAACATTACATTTAACCAAATAATTTACAGATATATATAATACTGTCTGTTGCTGTTATGTTTTAAAGATCCCTTCCAAGAATTGCACTGGGAATATAAAAAACCCATTAAGGTCTGTGCTGAGCCCAATAATTCTGTGAGGGAAGTCTACAGGGCAAAGGACACAAAGGAGCTTATTTTAAAGAAGCAGGACTGGGAATAATGTAAAACTAAGCTCACTGGAAAGCTTAAGAGGAGAGAGGAAGGCTTAGAGAGACTTCTTACTGTCAAACTTGCAATATTTGCACCATAATAAAGTCCTAAAACTATGCAAATGCATTCACGTTCAAATGTGTGCATGTACGCTCTGTCAAAGGCAGTCAAAAACAAATAAGTGCCAACTCAGCAGAGCTGCACTGGCTTCAGAGCAAGAGAAAGGAAATTGATCCAAGCTCTGTTATTTTGTGTAAAAAAAAAATATTCTAACCTTGCTTTAATGCTGTTTGGGATTTAAATCTTTTGTTGGCTAATTTATTTTTAGCTCATGAGCTACATTCTTCTTTATTTACATTTCATTTGTCTGTGTGGGACTTTAGAAATTGAATAGGTGGGGTGAAGAGATAATGAAAAAAAGGAAAGAGTAGAGGGGCAGCCAGAAGATGAAACTTAGCAAATTATGATTAAAAATAAAAGGCAGAGCTTAATGGGGTAAAACGTAAAATATGTCCTTTGAAAAAAATAATGAGAATAAAGAGAGGGAAATCAAACCAAACCTTGATGGTGTAGGCAGATAGTGATAGATACTGCCCATGAGTGCCACTGCTACACATGTGACTTAAATATGGCAGCTAAGACCAAACAATATGAGTTAGTATCAGACATGTCTGACATGGCAGATAAATGAAACTAGACCTACTATACTGCTGTATGCATATCTAGCCATAGGTCCCTTACTTTATCGGTAATAGAATTGAAAATTCATGAACACTGATTTTATTTAAACCGGGTAAGGTGGTGGTCCTTTAGTTATTGTTTTCTTGTGAGTCGTTGATGCTCTCCTGGAGAAATTCTGGTAGGATGGCCATTCCTGGGAAGGTTCACTTCTGATCCATGTTACTCTATCTTTAAGGAATGGCTCTTATTATTTCCTCCCACGGTCTAAAAACATGACTGTTAGGTTAATTGGGTCCTCTAAATTCTCCTTAGGTGTAAGTGTGTGTGTGAATTGTTGTTTGTCTCTGTGTTGCCCTGCGATGGACTGGCGACTGTCCATGATGTGCCCCGCCCCTCGCCTATAGACAGCTGGAGATAGGCACCAGCACCCTTTGCGACCCCACTCGGGATAAAGCGTGTCAGATGATGGATGGATGGATGGATGGATGGATGGATGGATGGATGGATGGATGGATGGATGGATGGATGGATGGATGGATGGATGGATGGATGGATGGATGGATGGATGGATGGATGGATGGCTCTTATTATAGAAGGGACCATCATTAGTGATAGTGATAGAAACTTTGTTTCTCAAATTTTCTTAATCAGTTAGACTGAAGTATATTTTGTTTTTTTGGATCTTTCAGCCCACTTCATATTCATATTTAGGATTTCTTGGTCAAATTTGTGAAACACAGCTTAAATATTCAGGAGCTTAATTGTCAGTGTGGGTCAATACATGAAAAACTGGACAACTACGCTGTGCTCAACATGATTATTATGCCACTTTGGCATGCTCTGAAAAAATCACACACACTGAACGCTGCAACAGGCTGGCCCAGATCAAGTGCCACCTTGCTATCCATTTGCAAAAAAAGAACATCCCTTTTTATCCTCCAACAGCTCCTCGTTTTCTTCAAATTTACTTTGTGCCGTTTTCAATAGTCATGTTAGAATAAATTGATGGTATGGTTTTATTCTGAAATTCACCCCAAGTATTTCCTGTCTGCTGCCTGACTTTTCCTTGTTAAGATTTTGAAATTCAGGAGTTTTATGTGTATGGCGCTTCACTGTCTGGCCAAACTTCCTTCCTGCAGAATCATCCCGTTGAGCCCCACAGTCTCAGTAACCGCACCCACACTGGGATTATTAAGACCTTCTTTTTAGCTGATCAAAAAGGAGTTAAGATTAATGTCACAAAACACGACTACAGTATATGTCAACACTTGCAAAACAAAATATGCACCTGAATAAATGCAGTTAACAAAGATCGGTGAAACCAGTCGTATTGTTTGGTGACGGGTCAGCTTTAAGTAAACTGTTAGAAAATTGTTATTTATTACACTCACCCTTAAATATTTTTTTTTATTATTTTTAAGTAAATACCAGCATCAGCAGGAAATACTTAAGTGTTGCACATTGGTTCTTGATTGTGTGGGAAAATCTCTAAGCATAAAAGGGGCCTATTTTTTCTCAGCTAGAAAAAAATCCCCACAGCAATGCAACTGTAACCTATGACCTGAATTGACCCGTTGTTGTGAATAAACACAACCTTTCTCCGGATGTGAACATCCTTTACAAATTTTTTTTACTGAGATTCCTGTTGCGGAAATATTATAAATCGGCTCTAAAAGATTTAGACAGAAATACTGCAGAAAGAAGAATAATAAAGGTTAGAAATCGTGGCAGATTATAAAGAGACACACAAATATGAGAAAAATACAGGAGTAAATTGGAGAGAACTGCAAATAATAAAGCTTAAAGACATTTGTACCTTTAATTTGTTTGCAGCTGGTGGTAAGGGATAACTAGCTTGACTGCTGTTTTTAACCCGTGGTATTCATGATATCAGTACATTGCATATGTGCTCTGCCCCTGGATATATGACAATGTCAATGAAAACAGTCAATTCCCTGGTTTTTGTGCACAATGTGGCTGATAAAGTTGATTCTGATTTTAATAATTTGCTTTAACATATATAAGTGAAAGAATATGGATGGATGGATGGATGGATGGATGGATGGATGGATGGATGGATGGATGGATGGATGGATGGATGGATGGATGGATGGATGGATGGATGGATGGATGGATGGATGGATGGATGGATGGATGGATGGATGGATGGATGGATGGATGCTTTAACATATATTGTTTTCCATCTTAAGAAGTCATGGTGTAATGAATTCTTTGAAACACAAGATAATTATCCACAGGGTCTGTAAAAAGGATAATGATCCAGCAATAGAGCCAGATCAACACACATGTTTTACAAAATGAAAAGAATCAACTCTTTTCTCTGACCATCACTATCCGTAGCACTAAATCCTGCATACAACCTGTAGTTTGAAAATGCACAAAAACCTGTGAAGAGAAGAGACAGGAGTCAAGACTAAAGGGATTGTGGAAAAATGTATCTTTGTTTGTTTCTTTCTTTCTTTCCTTCTTTCTCTTTATTTGTTATTGTCCCTCCATCCTTTAATAGACATTCCATCTTTATATGTTACAGGATCACTCTCAATGGGATGAAGGTGTCCAGGCCAGACGTTCGCATCGGCCGCTACAGAATGATTAAGCATGAGAGGGACAAACACAATGAGCCAAACCCGCAGAGGTAATGCATCACTGTCGGAAGTTGATCTCCATTTTCACATTTGGATCGATACTGGTATTTTTGTTTCACACAGAAACACTTCAGTGGTTTCTTTTTTATGTTTGATTTTTGTTTAAAGAATTACAAACATATGACTACCTAAAAGCCATCAATGACACAACTTGATTAAGAGGTTTGCAATCTCTGCTCAGGACGTCAGTGAGGCAACAGTTATAGGTGGTAAATTGGTAAAGATACTACGTTACATTTGTATGGTTTTAATGGGAACAATTGCTTTTTCATTTTCAACAACGTCTGGTTTTCTAATCGCACCTAGAGACTGCCTGCTGTTAGTGCAGAACTCTAGCTGTTTGTTCCCTGAGAAGGTCCAGGAAAGAAACTGCATGAGAGGAGAAAAAATTCTCCCTTTGACAGGCTTTAGAGGTGTTAAAGTGTATCATTAAAGACTGCCATGCTCTCAGGTATTTAAGCCAGTAGGACGACAAAAGACAGTATTTGGCTAGATCAGTCTGCTGACAGCATGGGTCTTGGGAGTTTGGAGGAACAAGCTGTTGAATGGAAGTTAGAAATGTTACCTTCTGCTTTTATTTGTGTGTTTTTTCACAGTTTTTTAAAGTAGTTTTGGCTTTTGTTTACTGTCTTGCATCTGTGCAGGCTCTAAAATATTCTATTACTGCAGCTTTTTATTCACCGAGGTGTCAAAGGTACTCACATTCTTTACCAGAGTAAATGTGCAGATACCTGTGAAAAAAACAACATTGGTAAAAGTAGAAGTACCAACTGAACTCTTTTACACAAGTAAAAATATTCGATTCCTCCATGTCTTAGTTTTGGACTAGAAAAAGGGTGGCTTGTTTCCTTTGGTTTGAAAAAGAGTTCCTGCCTCAAGTCAAAGAGTTCAAGTATTTTAGGGTCCTGTTCACAAGTGAGGGCACAACTGAGCAGGAATCTATCTAAGACACCAGTCTTGGATAGTGAAGAGAGTGAGCAAAAAAGAAAAGCTCTTGTTTTACTGGTCGGTTTCACCTATGGTGACAAATCCTGGATCATGACTGAAAGAAAAAGATCCCAAATACAAGCAGCTGAAATTAGCGGTTGAGCACTCCTTTAGATATGGTGAGGTCATCTGGGAGAAGCTAGGAATAGAGCTGCTTCTTCTACACATCGAGAGGCGTCAGCTGATGTGGCATGGACATCTTCTTTTGGATATCCCTGAGACGCCCTCTTCAGGATGTGTTCCAGGATGTCACACAGGGAGGAGGCCCAGGAGACAGGAGGACACTTTGGAGAGATTATATCTCTTGTCTGGCCTCAGTGCATTCACACCGAATGTGAAACCTGCAACAATTTCACCACTTTCAATACACAATATGCACAGCAGGTGAATGGGCATGGCCGGAAAAAGGCTTCTACCTTACTGAGTCTGCTGGTAGTTTAACCTCAACAGGGAGGACAGGGATTCAATGGAAAACTTGCATTGCTTTTTGTCTTTTTTCTTAAAAGCCTAACAAAGCGATCAGCATCCTTCATTTCACATAAGTTTCCAGAGGCAAAACCAGCATGGAAAATGCATGGCCATTGTCTGTTCTGGGGATAGGACCACAAAACACCCACAACCATCCACGAGAGCTCATCCTTTGTCTACAATATTTTCTCTATCTTACATTTTGATTTTAATAAGCTTGTCTCCTGCCTCCTTCTCTGTGGGTCACAGCCACATCTACTCCCTGATGGGACTTCAAGATGGGAATGTAAACATAGTTCACATTTTTCAACCCCAATTTTAAAGAATTCGCCAAACTGACACTGTTTGCTAATTTTACAACTATCTCCTCACTCCGCCTCAATTTGCCGCCCTTCAGAGCCACCCTCTATATAGAGATAACATGAAAATCCTTCACTCCGGCTGCAAAATTCATATGTGGTGTGAGCGTACCTTAAGAGGAAGACAACAACAAGGTTTCTACATTTTACATTGGTGCAAAAGAAATAAGTTTTGCCTCAAATGATACAATAATACTCTCACATAAAATAGGATACCTGATTTATGGCACTATAGAGCTCTTTTTTTCAAACTGGAAATGTGCATATATAAGCCGCACTGATATCTACTGAACTGTCCTCCACTAAACCTGTAGGGGGAGCTCTACATGTCACCCCTAGAGTAGGGACAACGAATATGATACGTAGCTCCCATTAGCATGTTGGCTTGCGGACGTAAGAGCTTATAATGAAAGATGAGACTTTGACAGCTCTTTATTTGCTCTGCAAGAGTTGTGAACTGTCTCTTCAGTGATTTGACAGCTTTAATGAGGCAAATAAATTCCAAAATGTGTATTTCGGGACGATTGTTCTCAGTCTTCCCTGCTGCTCGCATATGCTTGTGCTCATTGAAAATTACCCCCCTTATTTGATTTCCAACTTTGACTTCCGACCCCTGGCGGAAAATCCACAGAAAAGTATTAAAATTGAAATAGAACTGGAAACATTATCAATACATAAATCTAAAATAAAATTAAAGGGGAATGGATTGAGATTTTTTTTTTTTATCTCAGATTGGGATCCATCATCTGTAATGGTTCCCAGCGTCTCTATCTTCATCCATGTTTTACTATAACCAAACTGTCTCTAACGGGATAGATTTTATTTTCAGTCTCAATTTACCCTCCATTTTGTTGCCACTACATCATACTATTATTAATATTTGTAGAAGTCATGAGCCAGTAAGGAGTTGTTCAGTAAGTACAGATGCTAAAAAGGATGCAATAAATCCCCTTTTTCCGAGGATTTATGGTGCCTTAACCAAAAGACACTACAAGTTGATGAATTAATTAAGGTTAATCATTTTTAAATGATTAATGATTGCCAGTAATAATTTCCTTCTTTATTGCTAAAAAAATTTATTTAAATATGACTTAACCATTCATTCAAAGATCACTTTAAGCACCTACAAGTCCTTGCAAAGGACCTTTCATACACTTTGATGTTTTTCACACTTTGTCATATTAGAAAAACCTACTTCAAAGTATTTTAGTAGTGGATGTTTTTGTAAATCACATCATTAAGCTACATATGAATAAGCGCATCTTCCTGCAGACCTAGACTCAGGCATTATGGTCACAGAAAGACAGGCATTGATATCTAGTCCAAGATAAAAATGTTGCTCGTTTCACTTCTGTGATTATTGAGTTTCAAACAAATGTGCAAAATACTTCCCCCATAAATGTGTTTTTTTGCCTTTTGATGAATGAGAACCAATATGCAGAGATGAGCCCTTCTAGACACATTAATCACCAGGAGTATAGCACCTCACATTAAGCTGCTTAAATGCGGATTATCACTGTTTATTCTCCTCTAAGAGCCCCCGTTTTCATGCCTGGATAGGCCGGCCAATGAAGCCTCTCAGCGCGAAAATCGATAGCTGCTCTGGCTTAGTTTGAATAAAGATGTAGTGAAACTTGTCCCCAGACCCCCCTTTTTTCCAATATTGCTTTAATTTGATCTCCAGTGTCATGATTATGTCACAACATTTAGACACTTCTACGCTCCAGGACCAGAGTCCACAGTGAGTTCTGCTTTAGTCGTTGCTGCTAAATTGGTTTTTAAGAAGATTAACAACTGCTGGGAACAAGAATCATGAGTGAAAGCATATTGACTGTTTCCTGCAGCCAAACAAATTGTGGCTGCTCAATTTGAATTTTGCATATAGCCTCTGAACCTGGCTGTTGAGACGATATAACTTTTGTCTTATCAATTATTGTCTTGGGCAAGAGAGACGGTGGTGCAGAAAACAAAATAAAATTGTCAGACAAACAAAAAAAAAAAAAGAAAGAAACACCAGGAAGATCTGCAATGAATATATAAAGCACCTCTTTAATGAATTAACCACTTGTGAAAAACATCAAGGGCAAGTTTCTACTACTCTTCTTAAAAGTAATTAGTTAAAGTATATATTTTTTTACCATGCTTTCAAATGCTAAAAAGAAATTGCTTGGTTGGCAACAAGATAAATCTGACAGAATTAATAGAATACTTTATATTTTAATAATTAGTTAAACCATTATTAGTTTAATATCTCAAACATTCCTTCCCCTAAACATATGTATACTTATATAGGTGCAATTCTCCACACAAACTAAGTGGTTTATATCTGTCTTGAAAGCAACACTGATTAACTCTTGCCCCAAGTAATAGCTTAATTTGAGATATATAAGATTAAGTGTTTCTGGTGGACAAACAGCACTTGGTGCCTATCGATTCTCTTGCATCCTGCCCTTCTTAAAAACTCACCTATGTAATTTGAGAGGATGAGATCAGTCATGTTACCTGGAGCGCTGATTTACAAAGCTCCCCCTATACAAAAGAGCTAACTTAGCTGTTTTTTTTTGTTTTTTGTTTTTTTTTAGGCAACTAAACAGATGTAACAATTCATCAGACGTGTTCTCCATTCACTTATGAAGGATTTAATCTAAAGGTGTGAATGTGACCTTGCGTTTTTTTTTTTAACTCAATGATGTGTCAGTCTGCTGGTCCAAAGCGGTCAGCTATCAGAATCCAAGACACAGAAGGAGACTGTTTAATTTTACAACAGGGCAGCGTTACTGTTGCTTTCAGGCAAAAAGTGACAAATAGAATATTAAATGTTATTTCACCTTCTCCATTTATTGCCACTGCTGGTTGGCTAAATGTATATCCTGGGAAATTCTCAAAAGACCTACCACAGTCCAGACTCTTGCACTCGTAAAGGCAAGGTCCTAAGAAAGTGAAATTAAATGGATAAATTTGTATTGAAGCAAGCCTTTAATAGCCCCAGGCTTCTGAAAAGATTAGGCTTCTCAAAGGTAATGTAAAAGGGGCTAGGGCTTTTTAAATAATCAAAAAAATTGTAAAGTCAGGCACTTAAATCAGCTCCCTTTATACCGATTAATGCCACACAAAATGATTCAAAGACAGTTATTATCCATGAGCTGTCAGACTACTTAACTCTTGAAATCTCCACA